ACAATACGATTTATTAATATTGTAGCTGTTACCACTGAACTATGGCGATGTCGATAAATTACTGTAAACAACACTAATTAGCTAATCAAATTAAATCAAAGCAGACAGCTGGCCGCCGCACAAAGAAATTGAGCTCACATTATCTTTATTGCACTAATTTGACGATAATAGAGCTGTGAACTGTTATTTCATTATTATTCTAGGTAAATATTTTGACACTACGCTCTCTTATCACCAAGTGATAATTTTGGAACAATTTGTACATCAACACAATTTACAGCCCTTCAGACATACATTTAAATATACCACGTTTTTCCAGCAACGCTACAGATGAAAAAAATACTTTAAATTGGAATCGGCACCCACTTCCTCATCAATAATTGGATTTTGCCGTCAGGTCTTTATCTTTAAAACTTACATACTTAACTTTTTTTTAAATTGTATAGGGGGCAAACGAGCTTACGGGACGCCCATAAAGGGCAGTCATCAGCGCGCATGGGACCCCATTTAAGTGGGTGCGTTGTCGGCCTTTGAGGGAAGAGTATATTCTTTTCTTTGGATATCGTATCTCCCAGGGAAGGCCCCCAAAGTCAATTCCAAGTTCGCTGTCCAGTTTCAGAATAATTACTAGCAAAGTTTTTAAAAAAAATTCCCCCCCCCATCGCTAGTTCGCAAAGTATTAATCAGAATAATTACTAGCAAAGTATTAATCGGAATAATTACCAGCAAAGTATTAAGTGCTCTGCGGTTCCAGACGCATTAATTCGGTCGTAGCACGATGATCTATAGCCTAAAGCTTTTCTCGGTAAAAAGACTTTTAAATGCAATTTTTTTTTGTAATAAATATGGTGGTACAGTAAAGTAGTACATCACATTGCTCTATTGTCGATAAGACTATATATAAAAAGACTTTTAAATGCAATTTTTTTTTTTGTAATAAATATGGTGGTACAGTAAAGTAGTACATCACATTGCTCTATTGTCAATAGTTTCCTCAGCGTACGTGATATAGAAAATTTATTGCTATTTTCACACCTTTTATACTATCGCTATTTCATACCCAACTTCTTTGAAAATATTCTATAGCCTATGTTCATCAGGGATACCGTAGGGTTATAATTGTGAAAGATTTCTAATCTTGTAGTTTTGCCTATTCAATGCAATTTACAATATTCTAACAATTATCTAGTTGTGGGTAAAGCTTTTGACATAATTAATTGGACGAGTCTTTCATGAATTGGAAAACAAAAGCACCCGTTAAAAATCCATTTCGGTTAGGTATTAACTAGCTGAATTGACTGACTCACTGATAATTTCAGAAGGGCTCGGCGTCACGACCTTTCAAGTCGTAATTGTCTATTTATAGAACATGTCGATACATAAATTCAATTAATATTAAGACTCGAATTATAACTATTTTTAAATGGAAACAAATATCATGTGATGTTGGTCTCTCTGAACCGAGGATGAGAGTCGGACCCTAAAGCCGCTAGGCTAGCACTGCTCTTACCGGTTATATAGTTATCCAAAAACGAAAATCTACACGCTACTATCATACTACCACGTAAGTAGTATAGAAGCAAATACACTGTAGCAACTGAACCAAATGCATATATTTATTTAAACCACTATATCACTGTCAACACAACACCTATATATAACTATCTAACTAGTACCTATAATTTACTATATACTGCAAAATTGCGGTCATTATACACAATTCTAAGAGTCCCGCTACTTAAACTATGACTAAGCTATTGTTACAAGGGAAATTTCCTTTTATTAAGCCCAACATCTGTGTCAAGCCTGTAGAATCTGCTTCATGGTAGTATCTAGACCAAGAGTTATTACTTTCTTTTTCATATAAAACTTCCGGTGTATAAGATAAATTAATGTAAATATTGCAGTGTCTTATAAAGCGTTCTGTGGACATTTATCATTGTTCAAACTGCCTTATGTGCCTGACACATTCCCATGACAAGACAATCCCGTACGAGTAAGAAAAATCCGGACAAAGCCGGGGTAATGCGACCTTAATAAAACAAATGTCAGTCATAAATAATTATATATAAATGAATACTTATATACCGTAACTTCCTGTTGAAACTCTATATAATATATATTTTATCTATACATAGTATTATACTGTACCTTAATACACAAAGCATTATTGGAGCTACACACATCACAATTAGTATATTAAGTCAATTATAAAAACAGCTTTTACTACCGGTCACTTATTCCCAAATTTCCATAATGTTTCCGCACATTTTCGTATTATTCACATTCAAAGGCGGTCTACTCATCAGTTTAGTTGGAACTAACTAAAGCCATTCGTTGAAACCTTCATATCTGGTTATGGTAGGTTTACATGACGCGAGTCAATTCGTGATTGAACTTAATTTGAGTTCGTACGTTCACAGACTATAAATTTATTATTTTCTTTGGTTAAAGATTATGTAATAATAATTAATCGTTTATTTACAAAGTGGTACACAAGATGAATTAATTACAAAAAATCTGCATAATCAGTCAAGTCAAATTAGCATGGAAATTTTATTGATTTTTTAGCTCTGTGTAAAGCTACTTTTTTATAGGGGCAAACAGGTAGGAGGCTCACCTGATGACCACCCGGATACTCTCAATGCCAGAAGGCTCGAGAGTGCGTTACCGGTCTTTTAATAATTTGTGCTCTCTTTTCTTGAAATACCCTAAGTCGAATTGGATCATTTTGATACGTCAAAAACTATTTTACACACACAAATCTTCAAACTCCAAATCTAAGTATGTTGTTTAAGTCAACAAAATTGAACGTTAACAAAATAACCTACTTAAGTTGAATCTAGTGCGCCTGCATGTAGCCGTAGCAGAAATTATTTTTTCCGTTAGCAATATGACTAAGAGATATCTGTTTGTTTGTATATTCGCAACAAGAACTGTAACGTGAAGATGTTTATCTCGTGAGATTTTTATCATTACGTAACGTGTTTACGCTCTACTAAATATGTATACGAAATAAAACTCAAATTTGTATATGATTCATCCATAACTATTGACTGAGTGTTCTTGCGTTAAAAATTCCCTTAAATTCCCAAAAACCTTCTTAAAATGCTCGTACATAGTAAATGATGAATCGTATGTAGAAATCTTATTAATGTTAAAGACTTTAATACTTCATAAATCATAGAACCCCGGATCTGAATACCCGAGGTGATCGTTCAGTTTATCAGTACCTTTCAAGGTCCCGCTAATTAACGATTACAAGGAGGCCATTGTACCAGACAATGATATTGTGTTAGCATACACAACATACTATATGCAAAAAACTAATCCCCAAGTTCTCACGGTCAAATGTTACATACACCATTGTTTTTTTGCAACTAAAGAACCACCGCCATCTATCGGAACTTTCAAACAATAAACTTGTGTCGATAGTCTGTCACTAGATGGCGCTGATTTACAAAAATAGTATATGACTATACCATGATCACTATTATAGTCCGAAATGGCTCGACCGATTTTTATGAATTTTTTTATGCATATTCAGTAAGTCTGAGAATAGGCCAATATCTTTCAAACCCCTAAGTGATAAGTGATAACCCCAAAATTTTATTCTTTTATGATACAGCATACAAAAATACATACAAACCCTAATTTTCTCCTCTCTACGAACAGATCACGACCCCTTTTTTTATTATTGTAGATAGTTATTTTTATTGAACTAAAAAATATTTCGTAGAAATAATATGACATGGCAAAACAACGTTTGCCGGGTCAGCTAGTATTTGTATGAAATCATAGCGCCTCCAGCGATTACGTGGAAAACTAAGATTTCTTACTAACAGATACAAAAACGTTTCATACATCAAGCTCATGATGGAGCGACAACAAACTGTAAACGTTAACATTACTTCATACATTAATGCTTTTGTTAGCAGACACTATAATAATAATGAATCATTACTTTATTATGCAAGAGATTTGAATAAATCAATCAAAAAAGCTTTTTAGGTCTGGGCCTCATATTTCTGTATCTGTTTCATGATCATTTGTCAATCTAATAGGCAAGTAGGTGTACATCTTCCTATGCCTGACACACGCCGTCGATGTTATCTTAACCGTTTGAGCGAATGTTAAATGCGCACATAAAAAGAAAGACCATTGGTGCACAGCCGGGGATCGAACCTACGACCTCAGGGATGAGAGCTGAATCCACTAGGCCAACACTGCTCCAAATCCTAACTATCCCAATCTAAACGACAAAAATGTTCACCAATCACATAATACAGCAAAACTTCATTCGATTCACTGCAATATTTACTTTGCTGACTTTTTATAAAAATAAAGAAGAAAATTTATAGAACAAGAAAATTACATTACAAATCCCTTGAGCAAAGCTATCTAGCCATTAAGGAAGTAAATTAAACAACCCTTTGATAGAAATATAGACAATATTTCTTCGGCCACTGTAATTAATGTAATTATCTTTAGCGAAATGTCTGACTGCTTAGCAATAGGCCCTGCTCCAGGTAAGAGATTTAGCCAGTGTTAATCTATTTAATAATGATAACCAATTCATTCATCTATAAGCCTATACTGTAATACCAGTGGCGTAACCCTAGGGTGGCAGGGCTGGCAAATGCCACGGGCCCCCGACCCAAGAGAGCCCTTGCCCAAGAGATATTATGTTCTATGGATGAATAATGTTAATATGTTAAGTCTCCAATACGCATTGGGCTAGCTTGGGAACTACAGACCATTCCATCTCGCCTAAGAGAGGAGGCCTATGGCCCTTATTGGGACATATACAACGTGTAATTGAGTACGCTGAAAATCTCGAAGTTTATTAAAATTAAACTGAGTATAACGTGACGATTTTTCCTGATAGGGCCCCATCAAAAGAATTTTCCACGGGCCCCAGATGGTATAGTTACGCCACTGTGTAATTCGTATAATATACGACCGTATACGCGCATAAAAAACGCTAGTCTGAAACTAATTCAATATTTGTCTCTAAAGACACTCTTAAACCTTCTATTTGGAGTTAATAAATAAAAACTTACGTTCTCTCTATCCACATCGAGTTGTTTATCAGTTTTGGGCAGACTAAATCTCTCCTTATCAAACCGACGATATCTCTTCGTCTCCGTCGCGAATTTATTCTCAGAACATACTTTCTTTGAAAACTTAAACTCTTCAGATACATTTTCCGTTGATTTCCACACTTTGAGCGGCTTTTTAGCAATCTTCGGCTTTTCAGTGAGGTGGCTTTCAAAGTTCTCTTTGAGCTTTTGAAAATCGGATTTCGCTTCTGGTGTCGCTGGACGTGATATGTCACACGGTTCGTCATAGATTTTCGGATCCTGAAAATAACATAAATATATTTATTCAAACTGTATATAGCATGCACGTTAATAAATTAGTTTTAATTTTATATATATGTATATTATATCTAAAGCTTTTAAAGAAAAACGCTTTTTACCGGATTAAAGTTATGTTTATTATTATAAATTTACAACTATTTGACATAATTTTAAATTTATCCGACGTTTCGCGTGCTTTACAGCGTGCGTGGTCACGGTGACGGTCTTTAAATGTGTAAAGGTTATGTTAATCAAAGACAATACTATATCTAAAGCTTGTAAACATGAATTTAAAATTGACATTATTAATATAATTGATGGTTACAAACTCAAAGTCAAAATAACTTTGTTCATATAGATAACCAAGTACACTTATGAACGACAACAGAAATGATATTAAATTGATTCTAAATTTACATTTACTTCATTTACTACCAGTTAGCAAGTCAAACTGGTTGTGTTTTAAAGAATTAACTTTAATATGCCTACTTATTAATTACTTTTTTGATGTGAGAGATTTGTCACATTCCAAAGTGGACTGAGAGTGAGAGGGTTCATCTCAAGGTCGCGACTTATCCCTAAGAGAGATTCCCGTAAATCCAACACATTTAAGACATATGCCATCAAAATTTGTAAAAAAACCAAGTCAACGCAGTTCCTCTACCGAACAAAGTTTTGAGATGAGAATACCAAGTCGGTCAATTAATTCAGTTCTGTCATCAATTATTACGTAATCAGCTAACCTGACATCTTATAGTGACCATAGCAATAACATGTCATGTGGAACATGGTGAAATGGTTGCAGCTCCTTACAAACGTTGTGTAAAACAAAAAACTTGGCGATTAAAAAGAGTGGCGGAGTGTTTATTGCTACTTCTCTTCCGTTCTACGCCCTTGATTTGAGAACTGGCAGTAAATGTAAAATTAGAAACATTTAATGTATATTTCTTATTTTGACGTTCTTAAGCTACGTACCATACTACTTTCATACTTATGTCGTACGGAATTTTACTGTGGGTGCTGCTGCAGAGGTTCAATCATATTTGTGCTGCAGAAGCGGGCTGTTCGGGGTATTTGTTGTGTTTCTCCGAGGAGTCGGTACGGAATAAGTTAAGGATTAAATATTATGACCTATCTGTAATATATTCTTGAAGCCTTGTTGTATGTCAAAAATATAATTTTAAAAAAATTACTCACCATATACCAAACTATTTATGTACACCAGGCTCAAAAATAAAATCTTTATGGAAATTGTATTCTTTTTACAACAACTCCCAACAAATTAGAGAATTATCACTAAATAAATTCAAAGCCCTCTTAAACGAAAATTAATCAAAAAGCTTTTTATAAATTTGAGGATACTTAAATATCCTAATCTTGGGATTGAATTGCTCCAGTTCAAATTTTATGAAATACTTGGCGATTAAAAAGAGTGGCGGAAAGTTTCTTGCCAGTTCTTCTTACCCGCTCTAGCCCTTGACTTGCGAACTGGTAGTAAATTAAATTTACGATTAATTTAACTTGACGATTCAAAAGTGTACTGGTTACCTACTTGAATAAATATATTTCTTATTTTGACGTTCTTAAGTGTACATTGTGTTACCTATATGAATAAATGATTTTGACTTTTGACTATTACAAATCTTTTATGTTTTTAATATATAGATTGACTTTGATATGGTAACATAATGTATCAAGCAAGTAATACATGTTTTATTAAATTAGATTGTTTAGTGCGATTGCGAAAATTCATGCTTCCACAACGAAGTTATAGGGGAATCGCACTTCTAGGACAAGTCTCATTTCTGAGTAGTCGTTTCGCAATATGTAAAAGCCATCGATAAACATGCGCCAAATACATTTTAAATTACTTTCACAGAAGTGCAGTTAGAATAGCGTGTTAACATATTATGTATATGCAACACATTACTTTCATTTCACCAATAACGAAAGTAAACAGTTTTATGGAAATCACTCATGTTCCAACACGTCAAAGTATTATATCCAAACTGAAATGACGCACACGGCCGCAGAATTTAAAATAGTTTTTATAAAAAAAGAGCAGTTGACCTAGTGGCTTCAGCGTGCGACTCTCATCCCTGAGGTCGTAGGTTCAATGCCCGGCTGTGCACCAATGGCGTTTCTTTCTATGTGCGCATTTAACATTCGCTCGAACGGTGAAGGAAAACTTCGTGAGGAAACCGGCTTGCCTTAGACCCAAAAATTCGACGGCGTTCGTCAGGCACAGAAAGCTGATCACCTACATGCCTATTAGATTTACAAATGATCATGAAACAAATACAGAAATCTGAGGCCCAGACCTAAAAACGGTTGTAGCGCCATTGATTAATTTTTTGTAAACAACAACATTCAGCTCCTGCACTCTGTTACTTTCAATAGAAACAGAGCCAATCACGTCGGTTTTGTTAGCAATTTCAATGTTCTCACAGTATCAGAATCAGAACAACTAAACATTGAAGTCATTGCAATCCCTCTTGGGAGTTACAGAGTATGGGTGCTGATTTTCGGGCTTAGATGACTTTAACTTCTACAAATGTAGTCGTAGTGTTAATTGGGTACATTCGAAAAATCTTAGGATTGAATGACCTCATTTATATAATACAAGTAGTAGATTTTTTTTGTTTCCGACATTATCGTATTGGTTTAATACTGTAGGGACTGTAAGGAATAAATTATTGTGTCAAGAAAATAGCTTCTAATTCCCATAAAGTGACCCGCCTGCTCATTTACCCCACCCCATGAACAGGTACGATTTTATGAAAACTATTACTAAATTTTAAACCTTTTTCCAAGTCGCAACATATAGTTGTATTATGAAAGACGATCTGACGGGGAATGACCGGCGCACGGTGCATTGGCCAAATGTTCTGTGGTCAATTTACTATTTGCGGTAAGTGACCATTTGGTGACCACAACACTAGAGTTACACATTGTGAAATTAAATTAAAAATATGCTTACTTATCCTGCTTAGACTTAGTAGTTAGACGTTAAATATTTAAATATGTTATTTTCTTGGCGCGTCTAAACGGGCCATGTTTTGCTGCAATTGATGGCTGCACTGTTGGCCACTAATTGCCTGGCCATTACAAAAATATTTTAATGCACTATCCGAATCTATGGCTCATTGTTATAGTATGGCCCATATCAGACTCCTAAACGGGCTACACAAACCGGCAACAATGGCTGACGAAATCACACTCCTTCGCAGAGCTTTATTGTTTTAAAAAAGAAACAGAAAAAGAAGAGATTGTGGATTCGACCTTACTTAAATAGGCGTGAAACTGTAGACAATTTGAGTCTAAAATAAGTCTTGATATAATTATTCAAGAACTAGAATGTCAAAAGTAGTCATTTTTACGTAGTAATCTAACTCAAATACAGCTGATCCAAAACACAGAATAAACACAGGCCACTTCACTCAAAGCAAACGTCATTCCGTAGAAAAGGATACACTATCCATAACAGCAGAGTGACTGAAACAACAAGAGAACTGCCGTGCAATATTATTGAATTCGATAGCCGAGCGATCGTCCGGCCACCTATCGGGGCAACATCGGCCATATGTGGCTATACAAAACATGTTTGGCTATATGGCCGGGACATTACTGCAATATTGCATAGTGTGGCTGCTATTGTTTGCAATGTTGCCGGCCACAGTGTTGCAGCCATCAATTGCAGCAAAACATGGCCCGTTTAGACGCGCCATAAAACAATTGTTCGTATGAAAGTGTCTAAAATATAAAACTAGATAGCATATTATTGTTTTTATTTATTTCTCTTCAATAAATAACTCGAAAATTTAGGGCAATAGTAACTTGTCTTTGAAAAGCTTCTCACACTTATATTTCGTATCTGCAAAGTATAAAACTAAATCGCTTTTAAAGTAATTTAACCTCACACCCAACTCGATTTAAAAGGTAAGTTATAAAATTATAAATCAAATTTGACATGTTATATTTTAGAGAATGATGTACCTACGGCTTACCCAATAACTCTACTTTGGATAGAGAAACCGACCGTTACCGGTACCACGTACGGTAGGAGAGTCACCTGCGTTACATCTTAAGAATTGGCACGACCTCTCATAAGTCGAATAGGTCATAAATACTTTGATGGGCAGCTGGTTCCGCATAGCGGCGGTGCATGGCAACATAGTAAACAGTATTAATACGTCCACAATCTATTATATGGATGTCAATGTTGTTTTTTTAATAAGGCTAATAGAGAAGATTGACAGACGTCACACACTCGAAAAAGATAACGTTGAAAAGACCCTTACTTGGAATGTCCCAGTGGGAAGAAAAAAAAGGACGCCCAACACAAACCTATGAAGATGAAATAAAAGAGGGGAAAGATAGGAAAATAGTACCGAACGTGAGAGACAAATCGAAATGTTTGGAAGAGACCTTCACTCCGTCGGAGGTCGTGTAATATTAAATATCCTTATATCCTGTACCTGTAGCCTGTGTGTGTAGGCTATTTTTATTTATGGTAGGGGAGCCCAAGAGGGGATTTCGGGATTTACTAAAGCGCGGCAGATTAATATATAGGGGGATACCTTGTACCCGGTTAAGTACCTCCACAAAATATGAGGCCCATATATAAGGCCGCCCGTGAAGGAGACAGGATCAGATTAGTAAAAAAAAAATTGACCATCAGAAATTCCCGAGCGCGTCAGATTAAGGTAGGGTGAGTTAATTACATCCTAAAAAGTGTATATTCCACTAATCTGACAATTTGAAAGTGACGTAAAAAAAGGGGAGGGCAACAAAGTTGTAAAAAAAACGTCATCTCGACATTCTCGAGCGTAGCTAAAATTTTTTTTATTTTGAAGGAAATAATTCAAGAATAATGAAAAATATATAATCTGACGATTTCCGCAAGCCGAAATAACAAAAATTCGTCGATAAAGTTAAATGCGTGCAGCTGCGTGATGCCTACATTTCCTTAAACCGATCGGAATCTACTAAACGGCGTTCTAAATATTTCCCTCAAAATTACATTTCCTGTGAATTTGAACCGATTCGGACCGATAGATTTTGAGAAATTTTGAAAAATCTTAAAAAAATAAGAAATATTTTTTTTTAAAGTGGTTTCTTTATCTATCAACTTCAAAAACTAATCCGCCTTTGAGCTTGAAAAACCACGTCGATCGCCACCAAGCTGGTCAAAAGCGGTTGATTCGTTCGAGAGATATCGTGAACGAAAGAAACCCGAAAAAGTGTTTTTTCGGGATTACTCCGAAATTTGTGGTTCGATCAATTAAAATTGCAAAATTACATATGAGGATGATAAAACTGCGTCGAATGCCGCCAACCGCGTGAAAATTGCTTGATCCATTCAAAAGTTATTGCGGTTTGAAAATTCCAAAAATAGTGTTCTATGAAACTTCTATCAGACTTTCGAGCTGGGAGAGCTCAAATGCATAGAAATATTATTTCTTTGAACTCAGCGAGCTCAAAATATCAATTTTAAGCGCCCAGGAATGGAATTAGCGGGAAGTTGCAGGGATGGCCCTTTAGGTGAACCGTTTTTCTAAATTTTTTTTGTCAGATCAGGCGAATCCCTCTAGATAATCGTCAGATTATGAGACAGTACGTTTAGAACATAAAGATGAACCACATATATCTTAATCTGACGCGTTTGAGTATTTCAAAATTGCGTTTTTTTAGCAAATTATGAAAATGGCCGTGGGTTTGCGTCCCATCGAAATCGTCAGATTAGTGAATGAGAGCTTTTTATTGGTGCACTTAACACTCCCTTAGAAAATCTGACGCGCTCGATAATTTTTATTTTTTTTCATTTTCAACCCTTAAATACAACCACCCGCATCATGCAAACGATCAGATTAACATACGTACATTATTAAAAATACGTAGGGCATTGATGCTATCAATATCTGACGCGCTCGAGGATGTCCATGCAACAGTTTTTTTTACATATTTAACAATCTATAGCCGCTTCCCCCACCGATGAAAAGGTATATATCATATAACATTTTTTTCTTCTTATTATCTAAGCTTTGCATCCCAATAGGTCTCTACGACGCTCGAGTAAATCCCCATTTAGCATCGTGGGCCCCTACCATTATACGTATGTTAGAATTGATATTTCCGTAGCAATTAAAAAACTACTCCAACGGCTGTTGCAAATAACATGCAAGCAGAAGCTACAAGAA